CATTCTCATCAGTCCATTCCGTGTGGAAGCCTTCAGATGCTTGGGATAGACATCTTCCTAATTCATCAATGGGTTTGAAGCCCATCAGTTAACCCTCAACCTGGTTTAGCCTGTCTGCTGAGACTGTTTATGAGGGTGTGGCCACTGTACATGCTACAGCTTCTTGGAGCCACAAGCACTGACTGCCAGGTAGACACCAACGGTAGAGGAGTAGCCCTGAGAAGGATTCAGCAGGCCCTCATACCAGAGGTACTAATTCCCCTTAATCACCCAATACACTCTGGACATATAATAAATAGTAGGACATGACCACAGGAATATATTGTTGAATAAATACGACGATCTTGGGACAAGAATTCACTATTGGACAAAAACTGCTAGGAAAACTGGAAAGCAGTTTAGCCAATACTAGGTAAAGACTAACAGCTCATATCATATACCAAGATAAGGTCGAAATGGGTACATGATTTAGACACATTGGGTGATACCATAAGCAAATTAGGAGAGCATGGAATAGTTTAGCTGTCAGATCTATGGATAAGGGAAGAATTTTGACAAAATAAGAGACAGCATTACAAGAAGTAAAATGGATAATTTTGATTACATTAACTTAAAATTTGTTTTTACACAAACAAAACCAATGTAATCAAGACTGGAAGGAAAACAGAACACTGGGAAAAAAGTTTATACAGCAAGCTTCTCTGATAAAGCCTTTATTTCTCAAATATATAGAGAATTCAAATTTATAAGAATATGAGTCATTCCACAATTGATAAATCATCAAAAGATATGAAGAAGTATGCAGATGAAGAAATCAAAACTATCTATAGTCATGTGAAAAAAATGCTCTGAATGTAAAAAATGGTACCACCTCATACCTATCAGATTGGCTAATAGAAAAGGAAAATGAGAAACGTTGGAGGGCATGTGGGAAAACTGAGATGTTAATGAACACTTGGGGGAATTGGAAACTGATCCAACCATTCTGAAGACAAATTTGGAGCTATGCCTAAAGGACTATAAAACTATACATACCCTTTGATCCAACAACAGCACCACTAGATCTGTAATCCCAAAGAGATTTAAAAAAACCAAACAAACCCGTTGTACAAAAATATTTATAGCTGCTCTTTTTGTGGTGGCAAAGAATTGGAAATCAAGGGGATGTCCATTAATTGGGTAAAGGCTGAACAAATTTTGGTATGTGATTGAGATGGGATACTATGTGCTACTAAAAATGATGAGCAGGACACTTTCAGAAAAACCTGGAAATACCTACATGAATTAATGCAAAGTGAAGTGAGCAGAAGCAGGGGCACATTGTACATGATCAGGACTACTGTATGATGATCAACTGTGAATAACTTAGCTTTTCTCAACAACACAAACATCCAAGACAATTCCGAAGGACTTATGATGAAAAATGCTGCACACCTCCAGAGAAAGAACTGATGGAGACTCAGTGCACATCAAAGTATGCTATTTTTACTTCATATTTTTTGTGTGTTTCTTGTCCATGTTTTCTTTCTCAATACGACTAATGTGGAAGTATATGTTTTGCATGACTGCACATGAATAACAGCAAATTTCTTGTTGTCCTAGGGAGGGGGGGATGACAGAGAGGAAGGGAGAGAATACGGAGCTCAAAATTTTAAAAAATGGTATAAATTACTTTTACATGTAACTGGAAAAAATAAAATACTAAGTGGGGGGAAAAACGTAAGGGAAAGAGTAGGGAAGAGAATGGGGACAGCTATGTGACACAGCAGATAGAATACAAGGTCTACAGTCAGGAAAACTCATCCTCCCAAGGTCAAATCTGGCCCCAGACACTTACAAGCCTTCACCAAGACTGCCAAAGGAATCCATGACACAACAGACTAGCTAATAACCTTGGCTACAAAGTAGTGCTTAAGTTGAGCCTTGAAAAAATATAAAGATCCTAAAAGGCAAAGAGGAGGAAAAAGTTTACTTGAGATGTGAGATACAGCCTGAGGAAAGAGCAGACAGGAAATCAAATGCCAAATCTGCAGAATGGGATGAAGGTCAGTTGGTGGAAAAAAAGAATGAATGGAGGGAAGTCATGTAAAATCCATCTAGGCTAACTGCCTGAAGCCAAATTATGAAAGGCTTTACACGCCATCTAAAGTCTAGGGTGTATGAGGTGTTCAGGAGGACTAGTACCTCTGGTGTGATGGCTTGCTGAGTCCTTTTCAAGGCTGCTCATTCACCTTTGGTGTCCACCTTCAATCAACTCCCACCGTAGCTCCATGTCCACACCCTGGTAAACTATCTTTGCAGAAGGGCTAAACCAGGTTGAGGGGAACCAACAGGCCTCAGACGCATTGGTGAGTTAAAGGGATGTCTATCTAAAGCATGTGAACACTTCCCCTGGTGGAATGAGTGTATGAGAACAATCTGTTCCAACGGCCACGAAGGTGGCAGAAGTAGGCCCTGTGATGTGCTTAGAACTTAATCATATATCAAAGATGCCAAGGTCATCCACCCCACCCTGAGCCATCACCAGTCATCCTGACTTTTGTCCTGCCACTGGACTTTGACGACTCTGGAAGAAAAAATGAGAATGAGGACTGAGCAACTCTGCCTCACTTATATCCAATTCATGTGCAATTCAAGACATCATCCCATAATGTCACTGGTCCTCTTTGAAAATGAAAGACAATCAACAAGGTCTGTTCCAATTCTGAAATTCCATGATCATCTACGTTCTCAACAGAATCTTAGAATTGGAAATGATCTCAGTGGACCTATATCTGAATAAGAATTACTTGACAAATAGTCATCCAGTCTCTTCCCAGTATAGTGAGGATGAATTCACCACCTCCTAAAACATCCCTTGTTACTTCTGGAGAGCTCTGACGGTCAGGATGCAGGGGAAACTTTCTTCCCTGTGACTTCGGGTCAAGTAAAAAATGTCTACTCTAGTGGATAGAGGCCTGGGCCTGGAGCCAGGAAGATCTGAGTTGAAATGTGGCCATCATACACTTACTATCTGTGGGACACTGGGCAAGTCATTTAACCTCTGTCTACCTCAGTTTCTTTAACTGTAAAATGGGATAATAATAGCAACTACTTATATAGTGTTGTGAGATCAAAGGAGATAATAATTGTGAAGTACTCAGCACGTGCCTGGCACAAAGAAGGCAGTACACAAATGTTTATCCTTTTACTTCTTTTTTCCTCCTTGAGATGACAGTCTAATGCCTGAACACAGCTATCATTTCGCCACCCTGTGTTCTCCAGGCTAAACATCCTGAGTTCCTTCAGATCATGTTTAGTATCTCTAGTTCCCCTCATCATCTTTGTTATTTTCCGTTGGACACACTCCAGTTCATCTTTTTTTCTCCCTAATGATAATGTAAATACCATGATGCTAAGAATTGCACATAGCATAAGAACATTGTATGTCCCTGCTGAATGAACAGACTAGCTATATTTAATGAAATTCTCTACACTGTATCTCAGTGATCTAAAACCATAGTACCTTTAAAATGTGATTGTAATCTTCTGAAGATCAAATGCAGTAAAATATAAAGTGCTTTGAAAAGTAATTTATACATGTTATTTTGTAAACTGTTTTTAGTCTTTTCGGGATTGCTGATCAAACCTGACAAGGTAGTCGTTTGGTGCTCCTTAACAAAGTATATCTAAAAGGAAGAAAACTGGATCAATGTTACATTATCTTTCTCTCAGAGATATTTAGATGTTTTATATTAAAACCTATTAAATTGTAACTTTTACCACAATCAAAACATAGGAAAATCTATTGGGATGAATGAGCCTTCCATCAGCAGAGATTATCATAATGCTTGCTAACTTTGACTTGTTTACCTTTCAGAGGCTCTCTTTCTGACCTTAGGAGGTAATTTGCTATAATCACTAGCTTTGATAATAAGAAAACATCACGGGAAATTTTCCACCTGGCTTTAGATGAGCATGAAATTATTTTCATCTTCCATTAAGTGTCAAAAGCATTGGAAACAAACAGATTACGTACCATTGTTTTCATCAGGTTTTCGATGGGTTCTTCTTACTCCTCAAGATAGTTGGCATTTCCTGACAAAAGAAAAGACCTTTTTACTTAAATGGAACAAAGAAACAAAAGAAACCAAAATTTAAACATTTCATGTTATAAATCTATAGCAAAAATAGATCAACTGAATGAATAAACAAAAAATATCAAACAGTTGTAATTTTTAAGTACTGTCCTTAGTTACTAAAATTTATGAACAAATAATGTATTACAAATTACTAGTTATGAGGTTTTACATTTGTTTAATAGGGAATAATTTGCCCCAATTAAATGGACTCAACTAAGGCTTTTTTTAGATTACTAAAACAAATTAAACTTTTTAAAATGATAATTTAGGTGATCTTCAAGACTTTCTAAAATGGATCATAAAAGTTTCTAAGTTGTATTCTTCCTGGTTTTATTAGTTATATTAAGATAAATTAAGTGAGATTAAAATCTGATTTGATTTATTTACCTTTGAAAATGAAGACCGTTTTAAGGGTTACACATCCTCAGCCTCTGACGAAAGCGACCTCAATTAGTCAAGTCAGAATGTCTTTAATAGCTTTGTGTTTATTACTTCCAGCACGGAGCGAGGTGTTCATTAAGGTACCAAAAGTCTCATAAAAATTCCAAAGTTGCACTAGTGAAAAAATGCTCAACAAGATGAAAACTAATCACATCTTTTTCAGAAAATTCAGTAGTTATTTTAAAACCAGTTTTAAACAAGATTTGGTTTTAATATGGCACTCAGGCAGAGCAATACCATTTGGAGTCTTTAAACAGCATTTAAACCTACTGTGAGTATATGACTGTACATTTAATTTTATACCATTTTTAAACGGTGTACAATGTTTAGTGTGACCCTTTTATGACAATCATGGTTAAAGGATGTTTTTCCCTGTTTACTACTATTTATGAAGGCTTTTTTTTAATAAGAAAAAAATTGTTAGCTCACACACACGGCTTTTCTTTCAAAAGTTTATTTAGTATCAAGCAAGAAGAGACTTTGCTTAACACTACAGAACATTTCAAGACTTGAGTTACAAAAGAATACCACATTATTTGCATTTGTAATTGGTTTCCCTTTTTACACATCTTTGCAAGAGAAAAAACTAGCATATGGTTGAAAGATAGAACTAAATTCTGTGGACAACCTTTAAAAGGAAAGGTGAGGCTTATGTTAAAAGAATGGATTAACATGTTTAGTAAACCTAATTTTTGTTTAACACTAGTTAATCAAAGGTTATTTTTTTCTTTTGATCTCCTATTTGTCATATACAGACTGGCAATAACAAAGTTCCTTGTTTTACATGTCTTTCTGCCCAGTTTGTTGTTTGAACAAAGTAGTTTAAATTCAGTCCATCCATTCAGATTTTAAGCGCTTTGATTTATTAAAAAGGGATTGTTCATAGAAAAAAATTACTTTGAACAGTATACAGGACTGGTGGAGATTGGATATTTCACAACATCAGACAGTACAATCAGTATCTGGCGTATGGCTGGTCTCTGTAGATTCCCTTTGTTGTCCTTGATGAAGGTGCCTTATGTCTTGAGTTAGTCCACTCTTCTTGTCCTAGAAAAGGTAAAATTAATCATAATTAGATCACTGTTACTGATGCTAGTATGGTTTAATTTTTCAGAGTCTAGCTTAGCACTGAACCAATGGATAAACATCATCCATCTTGCGTGTGCCTTTTCACTGAAGAGTAAATCTGTCCTTTAAGGCCCAATTCAAATGCCACTGCTTCTATTCAAACTGTCTCTAATGTCCCTTTTCTCCTGGTAGACCTTACAAAACACCTGGTTTGTACCTGTCTTGTGTATTTAGTGGGCATTACTGTTCGCCATCCTTGGGATATACTTCCTTCTCAGCCATCTCTACCTTTCTTCCTTCAAGGTTCAGTTCAAGTGCCAATACGTGGACTCTCCTGTTCTTCTTTGTTGTTAGCCCCTCGTGTTGTTGTTGTTTTTTTTTAATTTAGTTTCTGTGTGATTTACATTGAAATATGTATATGTGGACAGAGTGAAAAACTTGGGAGTCAGGAAGATGTGAGTTTGAATTTTGTCTCAGACACTTATTAGCTCTGTGTGGCCCCTGGGCAAATCACTGACCCTCTCTTAACATCAGTTTTCTCATCTGTAAAGTAGGGATAATAACAGCATTTTATAGGATCGTTGTGGGGATGAAATGAGTTAACATCTGTAAAATTACTGTAAGCCTCAAAGCACTATACAAGTGTTAGCTATTATATGTGCATGTATATACATGTTCATGTGCATGTATGTATATACACACGTTTTTCACCCTGAGGAATGTAAGCTCCTTTGAAAGTGGGAAGTATTTAATCATTGTTGTCATTGTATCTGAAATACCTAAAGCAATACCTTGCATGGAGGAGGTATTTAGTGTTTATTTAATGAATAAAAGAAAGAAGGAAAGAATGCATGACAATCATTTGTGTATAATCTGTCCCACAGTACCAGCATGAATTCCATAGGAGCAATAATTTTATCTTATCCAATCTTTCTGTCTCTGTTAGTACCCAGCATAGTGCTAAATAAATGTTTGCTTAGGTTGACTGAAAAATTCCATGGCAATAGATTAAAACATAATTTCAATAGAAACAGAATCACAGATATTACAGCTGGGAGGGACTTTGCGAGATCATCATGTTCTCATCAAACAGATAAGGTGAGGCTCAGGAGGGAGGGAGTTACTTATCTATGTATGTTATATGGATGTGGCAAAGCTAGGCCTTATAACCAACCAGCTTTCCTGACTGGGAGTCCAGGGATATTTTCTACCACACTCTGATGCATTAACTAAAACTTTAAGTACTCAAAAAAAAAAATTCCCTCTTTCAACTAGTTCTACAACTATACTTACTTGTAGGTACTCATTTAAGAGGAGTCTAAATGTTAAGAATTAAACTTTTGCCAGTTCTCCAGTCACTGGCACTATCTTCATAAATGGGTTATATTATAGAAAAAGAATTAATTTCCATTTCAATGAATGGGCAAAGAAAATGGAACGGAATGGCAAAAGACATGGGCAGGCAATCTAGGAAGAAGGGATAATGCAGCACTTTTAATCAATCTCCCCCCCCACCCCCCAGTGAGGCAATTGGGGTTAAGTGACTTGCCTAAAGTCACACAGCTAGTAAGTGTTATGTGTCTGAGTCCAGATTTGAACTCAGGTCCTCCTGACTCCAGGGCCGGTCCTCAATTCACTGTGCCACCTTGCTGCCCTTAATCAATCTTTTTACAGATGAATGTGGAAAACAAAGTTCTGCTGGAGGGAAATTTACATGCTTAATGAGATGCTATAAATTCACACATTCTCAGACCAAATGTAGTAGACAAAAGCATTAAAAGCATTGTCTTATTGAAGGTTTTGCCATCAGTTGTTTGTGAACCTCTTTCAACAATTTCCTTAGTGAATTCCAGATCTGTACATCAAAGAGTTAACTTCTGTGCTGCAACATACAGTAATTTAAAAGCTATGCTGTCCACAGAGACCAATTTAAAAAGCTGTGAGGGAAAAATGCTTAGAATGACCTCTTCTTTTGATACAAACATGCAATCAGCTACGTCCCCTCTGGCTAACTTGCATCAATTTAAGTAGACAGCATTCAGCAAACCAATGTATTTTTATAAGTGTTTGTTACGACAAACAAAAATCCTAGTTGAGGTCATCACTGCTTCAGGCAGGAGATATAACACAATGCACTTCAAAAGGAACACTAGAAAATGGTTTTCCAGTTATGTTCAGAAAAAATGTCATAACATCCATTAGCTGGAATCCTGATTCACTTGTGCTGCTTACCAGAAATCCATGGGCTTTTGAGCTTCTCAACTAATTGAAGACTTCATGTCCTCTGATCTTTAGCCAAAGATTTAACATTCATCTTTCAAGAAAAGGTGCCTTTTTAATGGGCATTCTGCTGTCACTACAGATTCTTTTAATTAAACCTGTCATTGCTACACTTACAGATGGTTCTGAGATGTAATTTTCAGCATTATTATGCTTTTTTACCATGGACTGTTTAGTTAGTTGTTTCTACAACAGTATGGCAATACCCTTAAGCCTATTATCTTTCTAAATGTGTTTGTAACCTTAATGTAATGAATACCAGTGTGACTTTTTTGAGAATCCAAAATGGGAAATAAATTTTAAAATATATATACATACACATATATGTACCCATAACTCTAACCCTTAACAAAAAAAAGAACCTAAACCTATTAACTCTATGTCCTCACTTCACTTTTATTGTTGAGGGGCAAAGATACTTCAAAGGAACTGTACTATTAAATACCTTTAGTCCAGTAAGCTTTGATAAATCTGGCAAAGTTATGGCATTAAAAGGAGAAACTTCATCTCTATGTTTGTGGAATTTCATGAGCCAGGATTTCATATACAACCTAGCACAGATTTTGTCACCTCTTTAATATTAAAGGGCTTTGTGAAAATATCTAGGTAAGCATAAATGAACTCAAAGAAGATTCTTTTTTATTTTTAATGCAGGCTAGAGATTTCCTCTTGGAAGATGGATTTCTTTGACTGTCTTTTCCTTTTCTACACACAGTTCATCTTGTCAAGTTACTCACCATATGAATCGTAAGTCTCTTCACTAAGTCCATGCCCATAATCATAGTAATCAGCACCACTGTATTAAACAAAAACAAAACAAAACATATACACACACACACACACAAAAGAACAAAGTTCAAAATAGGTAAAAATTGTTTTATAGAATGTTTAAGTATAGCAAATTATTTACTCTGACTCAATAGAAAACTCAGAATAAAAGGGAGATGATTAAAAAAAAAAGAGTTCCCTAGTTGAGATGAAAGAATGCTTACACTAGAACACCAAGACCTGGGTATTTTTAAACTCTACTTTCTTCATTCTCCCAAATCTAATCAAATAAATTTTACATAAGAAATTCAACAGAAAGATTTGTCTGACTCTAAATAGATATGTGTAGATCAGAAGCAGTATTAGGAGTAGGTAAAGCTGAATGCCCACAGCATAGGGATGTTGATATACTAATCCTTATATCCTTTTAGAAATAGAAGGTTTGTTGTAAAAGTGTTATGCAGTTACATTATTCCTAGTTTGAAAATTTTCTCAGAGCAAATGCAATCTTGTGCTCTGTTATGTTTTACTACCTGTCTGGGAAATCCTGAGGGGAGTAGAGTGGTAGCAAAATAAAAATATGGTTAGTAGTGAGAGATTACTGAGAAAGGAAAAGAGTAGGGAAAAAACACAACACATTAGAGCAACAATGAGAAATGTTTTTATTCAATACGAATTTTTATAAATGAACATATTCTAAAGCCCGAAAATTCTCTCCATGGCATATGGTATTTACTTTGTGATATGACCAACCTGTAAGTTACAGTGAAGCTTCCAGTGGACCATGAACCACAAGAGGTAGGATCCTTACATGTTCCTAAGAGTACACAAATATCCTAGACTTATACATGGTGATCTGACTATGAGTTTATCAGGTTTTTTTCCTACTTTACTTCCCTACCAACCACACTATTTCTGAATGAAAAGATTATGCTTATACTTTTAAAAATTATTTTGAAATTCAGAACTTAACATCAAAAAAGAATATTTCCATATACTAAGCAGAATACACTTTAATATTCTGTGTACAACTGCAATTTTCCATTTTGTGCTACTTGCTTTTTCATAAAAAATATATAATAAATTCTACATGATATTTTCAAAACTGTCCTGCTTATGCTGCTTTCTGACCTGTGATTAAAAAAAAGTTACAATGGCTTCTTTGCATCCCCCATCACTCCTCCCGACCAAAGCAAAACAAATCTATATAGCGATAATGTCCAAAATGTATATCTCTGCATCTTGTGTCCATCCCCTTTACTGTGGAAACATGGATGGTCACTGCACTGATCAGAATTCTTGAGTATTACAAGGTTCTGTTTTGTTTTTCTCCTTCTTTACCATGCTATCCTGGGTATACATTGTTCTCCTGGTCCTCCTCATTTCACTCTACATCAATTCATACTACTCAGGATTTTCTCAAATTGTCCTTGTCATCATTTCTTATGGTACCATAATATTCCATTATATTCACATGCTACAATTTGTTTAACTCTTCCCCAATTGCCTAAGAGGTCACTGATGACATCGCTTTAGTATTATAGTTCTTTTCCTTTCCTCATTTTCGGATCAGGAAGCCTGTTTAGGTTGTGACTGTTTGCTCCCCTATGTTATCTTCCCTCTCAACCACCTCCTGCCTAACCCTCACTTTTTTTTTCTTCTTGAGTTTGATGTTTCCACACCAAATTCAATACTCACTGGTCCATTTCAGATAAGAGGAAGGTATATTTCATGCTCACTCCACCCACCCCTTCCTCTATTTTGTAAATTCTCATGTACCCTACTTATGAGAAGTAACAAGTTCTTCCTCTCTTTACTCCTATTCGCCTCTCTCATTTCCCTCTTAAAAACCTTAGGAAAAAATAATCCTCCTTAAGTCCCAAGACCTTTGTCTTTCCTGTTTAATTCATTCAATAAACACTTAAAAGTTTAAGATTCTTAAAGGACACTTGTTTCCTCTCTCCCTACCAGAACATAAGCAAATATACACCATACTCCTTCTAATTTCTCAAATATATTTACCTTTTACGGTTCCTATGGACTGCAGTGTTTGTGACCAACTATGGTCTTTTCCTCAGAAATTCTTGAGGGAATTAAATTATTTAATTCTATTAAAAGGTCTGTGTCCTCCTTGCCCCTTCCCTCCATAGAAAGCATTCAGATTTGCAAGGTAAGTAATTCTCGATTTTAAGTCTATTGTAATACTGAAATAGCCTTGGTTTTTAGAAGAAACTGCTACATATTGTGTGATCCTGACTGTAATTCCTTGGTATGCTTGCAGTATATTTTTTTCTTTGATGTTGGATCTCTGGATTTTGGTTTATGACAGTTTTCCTTTTGGGGCTCATTTCAGGAGGTAATTAGTAGATTCTCTCTTTATTTTGCCCTCTGGATCTAACAGATCTGGGTAGTTTTCATATATCATTTTTTGAAATGCAGTGTCCAGGCTTTTTTTTTAGGTACGTGATTATGGTTTTCAATGACTCTAAAATTATCTCTGTTAGATTTGTTTTCCCGGTCAGTTGTTTTAGATATTGAGAATCTTACACTTTCTTCTGTTTTCAGTCTTTTGACTTTGTTCTAATATTTATAGCTGTCTCAAAGAGCCACTAATTTCTGTTTGGTGTATTCTAGTTTTCCACATTTGCCTGACTTACCTACTTTCTGAGTTTTCAGCCTCCTCCCTTTTATAACTTCCCCTCTCCCCCCACCTCTGAGCTTTTCATCTCTGCATATTCAAGTCTAAAAACAGCATTATAGAGCTCAGATCAGCTGGGCCATGGCCATCAGGATTCAGGTCTCAGAACTGCAGCACTACATGGTGTGGTCACCACTGCTCCTAAGGATTTTGAAATTCTCCACTCTAGGGCTCTGCAGAAGGTGGGAAGTCTGTTCTTGTAGCCTCTGGATATACTGCCTTGCAGGTTAGAGGCTTTCCTAGACATTTCTGCTGATGGCAGGGGCTGGTTGACTATTGTCAACAGGCAATCACAGCATCATGAGACTTCTGTAAAAACCAGGTCATTACAAGAGAAATGAATGTGCATGTGGAACCCAAAAAGTTCACAGTCCTTACAGAAGCTTGAATATTTATAACAGTACAACAAAAGGAGGAGAAAACAGGAAGGAGCATGGCATGGCAGGGGAAAGGATAGGTGCAGTAACCCTTCCCAAAGGGGAGTAGCAAGGTGATGGCAAAAGCCACATTCTTGTCCCCTAGGAACTGCTAGACTATGACAACAGGTGAGTCTGCTTATCTGCATAGGTCCTCAGCTACACAAGCATTTTTCCCAGTCTGGCACAGAAGGGTTGGTGCCTGTCTTGCCTCCCAAGAACATACAGGGAATTTAGCTTGGGGTACAGACCACCAATTATGTCAGCTTGTATGTGGGGAGGCGGAAGGGAGAGGAGGGGCACTTCATCCTTGACACATTCAAGGCCCCTTGCATGCTCTGGGTCCAGTGTTTCTGGAAAGTACAGCAATTCAAAAAGACAAGTTCAGGGGACCCCTTAACACTGTGCATTTCTAGAAGTCATACTATAGGTTCTCACTGAATTTCTTGAACAATGTTTTACTTTGAACTTAAAGGTTTTGCTAGAGAAGGTAGCCAGCCTCCCTAGCTAGAAGTCTCTGCTTATATTTAACTACGTCAGGGGTGGGGAACTTGCAGCCTTAAGGCCACATGTGGCCTTCTAGGTCCTTGGGTCTGGCCTTTTCACTGAGTCCAAGTTTTACAGAACAAGTCCTTTTATTAAGGACTTTTGTTCTATGAAGTTTGGATTCAGTCAAAGGGCTGCACCTGAGGACCTACCTTGAGGCTGCAGGTTCCCAACCTCTGATAATCCACAGTCCTCACTATAGTGGGGTGCATACTGTGGGCACTTCATAAATGGGCTGACTTATAAGTACAAAGGATACCATGACTTAATATTTATATAGTGTTCTACAACTTACAAAGCACTTTCCTCACTGCTGCCCTGAGGCAGATAGTTCAAGGATTACTTTCACCATTTTAGAGATGAGGGAACTGGGGTCTGGAAAGATGGTGGGGCTAAACCTCAGGACTTAGGTCTCCAGATTTAGTGCTCTACCTATTACACTATTTTAGTGACCGCAATTTTATTTTGTAGCCATTTTACTTTCTTCAGAATATCTCAGACAAGTAGTAAAATATCACACAGCACAAGATTTGAGCTTATGAGCTAATAAAGTACATAGATGGGTATTTTTAAACTAATTAATAACCTAACTTAACAGTATCATCACTGGAAATCTTGTATTTATAAAGGAAAACAAGGGGCAATGTATCATACCATTTTGCAGATGAGGAAATTGCCCACAAAGTTTAAGTGAAATGTATAGGCCTATTGAAAACATAGTCTTTTTAGAGCAAAAGATCAAATTTCTGCAAAATATTAATCAATAAACACATAGGCAAGGTATAATGAGTCTTTACGTAATCATTTTATAATATTAGTAACTTTGATTTGTCATTTGGTAACACTGGTATTTTCACTCACCTACTCTCCCAGTTTTTTTTTTAAAACCCCTTTACTTAACTGTATAGTGAAACAGTATCTTGCATCTGTTGTTTTTTTTTTTTCCTGTTGTCTTGGAAATATACACTTAAATTCTTATTTCAACTTCACAAGATCAAATTAGATTATTCTAATCATAAGTATCTACAAACTATTTATCTGTGTACCCACTTCAAATGTCCTACTGATTCTATGTTCTCAGAGCAGGAACCACATTCTACTCATTTTTGTGTCTGCCCTGAGCTAGCCTGTATCTGACACAGAGCACTGCTCAAAGTGGGCCTTTGATATTTGTTGAATAAGTGACTTCTTATAGGAAATATGGGGGAGGGGAGTAAGTAGGTCAGAGTATGAAAAAATAAAGAAACTAGGTTAACTGACTTCTGTATAGCGTTTTAAGATTTGCAAAACATATCAGTTTATTTTATTCTCACAATAACCCTGTGGGATAAGTATGATCTTGTTATCCTCATTTTACAGAGGAGGAAA